TGCTCAAACTAGGTAATTCTCTTCCTCCTCTTACTATTAACCTAACTTTTAAGCTATTTTGAGCTTAGACTTTTAAAGCTCAACCATTCAACTCTATACTAGTCATTAAACTTTAGTTTTGTATTTGATATCCCATTTTAACCCTTTCTTTTAGATTACAACACCTTAAAACTTCATGACTCAGTTTCTTAACTGATGAAATTCAATGAAAAAGCAGTAGAATTAAAGCTTAGGATTGCATGATACTTACTTAGAAAATTACTAATCGAAGCAGAATCTAAACCTCAAGATATGGCTTGCCCTAGCAGAATTGACCTTCTCTTCCCCTCCAGATGCATTTCTAGCAATTCCTCTTCTAATTTCACAAGCTGACTATATCAGCTTTAAGTGATCCTTGGACAATGTGCTATGGCACATGTAGCTTCCATTGTGACACGTGGTATTATAAGTCCAATCTCACTTGTGCTTCTGCATCATGCCTCTGATTGTCTTTCTACCCTTCAATCCTATTAATACAAAATCCAAACAATACAAAACACCAGCTCAACATCCAAACCACAATCAATCTACTAATTACTAATTTACCTTTGATTAGCAACTAGTTTTAGGAATTAAAATCTAGGATGTTATAATTCTCCCCTCCTTTAAAGGAATTTTGTCCTTAAAATTCAAACACAACTATAAACTCACCTCTTGGAACAAATGAGGGTACTACTTCCTCATATTCTCCTTTGTCTCTCACATCACATCACTAGGAGCCAATCCTCACTAAAACACCTTAACCAATTGGATAGTCTTATTATGCAATTACTTTTCTTTGATATCCACTATCCGTTCCAGTTCATTTTGATATGTAAGATTCTCTTTAAGTTCTACTTCTTCTAGCTCAATCACATGTGATGGATCCGGTTGATACTTTTTGAATTGTAAAATGTAAAGCACGTCATATATTCTGAATAAAGGCAAAGGTAAAACGATCCTATATGCTACAAGACCTACTCTACTTAGAATTTGGTATAGTCCCATATAATGAAGTGTTAGTTTCTTGACCCTTATAGCCTACCAATACCAGTCAAAGGAGAAACTTAAAGAAACACATGATCTCCCATTTCAAACTCTAATAGTCGACACCATTTATCAGTATAATTCTTCTGACGGCTTTGGCAATAAGAAGCTTTGCCGGATAACTTTAATCTTTTTTATGGTTTGATCCTCAATATCGGGACCAATCATACTTCTTTCACTCAGTTCAACTCAACACAAGGGTGATATGCACTTTCTCCCATATAATGCCTCATATGATGCCATCTGAATACTTGAATGAAAGCTATTATTATAGGCAAACTCAACCAAAGGTAAATGGCTGTCCCAGTTGCCTTTCCATTCAAGGGTATATGATTGTAACATGTCCTCTAGAATCTATATTGTGCACTTAGTCTATCTAATAGTCTATGGATGATAGGAGGTACTAAACCTCAACTTGGTACCTATTGCTCTCTACAATGCTCCCCAAAACCTTAAAGTAAATTAGGGATCTTTAATTGATACTATATCCTTAGGTATACCATATAATCTTACCACCTTTCTCATAGATACTTTTGTGTACTTTTCTGCATCATAGGTGGTCTTAACTGACAAAAAGTGTGCTTCATCAATTAGTCCATAATAAATCACACAGAGTCATATCCTGCTTGAGTCCTTGGTAAACTAGACATGAAGTCTATTAAAATGTCGTCCCATTTTCATTAGGGAATTTCTAGAGGTTGTAGTGTCCTAGCCAGTCTCTGATGTTTGATCTTTACTTTTTGACTCGTAAGACACTGGCTCATAAACTCAGTAACATCTTGCTTCATACCTTCCCACTACTAATGCCTCTTTTGTCATGGTACATCTTAGTTACACCATCATATATCTGCTCTGGTGAGCTTCTTCCAACAGTCTCTTTCTAATCTCCTCATCTATAGGTATATAGATTTAGTCTTTATACAGGATGAATCTATCATCACTAAACCAAAATAAGGTAGTGTGACCTTCTTTTATATCTTCTCATACATTTGACAAGAATTTGTCTCTCAATTGAGCTTCTCAAATCTCTTTCCAAAACTCATTAGAAATCATAGTTGAATGAATTGCATTCAAAGTATATTCTAATGCCTCAACCTGCACTTCTAGCAAAGATAACAACAATTGGTGTTTTTAAACCATCAATCCAGCCACATGTAATGACTTCTGACTCAAAGCATCAGCTATGACATTGGCTTTTCCTAGATGATACTTAAAATCAAAGTTGTAATCTTTTAGGAATTCCATCCATCGCCTTTATCTCATATTGAGCTCTTTCTAATCCACAAGATATTTCAAACTCTTGTGATCACTAGGAACATTAAACTTTACATCCTATAGATAACATTGCCAAATCTTAAGAGCAAATACTACAGTTGCTAACTCTAAGTCATGTGTCGGATAACTCTCCTCATGAGGTTGCAACTATCTAGATGCATAAACCACAACTCCAGTGAAAGGTTGAAGTTAACTTGCATCAACATGCACTCTAAACTTTCAAAGAACCATTTATATAAACCTTTTAGGGATACCATAGATTAATAACAGTCAACACTAGTGCTGAAGTTAACTTTTCCTTAAGTTTTACAAAAGCAGATTCACACCGATCATCCCAAATAAAAGGCTGATCCTTCCTTGTTAAGCGAGTCAAAGGAATAGTAATTTGTGAAAATCCTTGAATGAATCTTAAGTAATAGCTTGCCAAGCCCAAAAAACTCTGTACCTTAGTTGTCGAATTCAATTATTCCCACTGCAATACCACATGCACTTTGTGAGGATCTACTAAAATACCCTCACTTGACACCACATATTCGAGAAATCTTACCTTCTATGGCCAAAATTCACATTTGCTCAATTTGGCATACAAGTGGTTATCTCTCAAAATCCCTAGTGTGGTCCTCAAATGCCTCACATGCTCTTCCTCATCCTTAGAGTATATCAATATGTCATCCAGGAACATAACAACAAACCAAGAAAGGATGAAATATACAATTCATGTAGTCCATGAAAACCACAAGCGCATTTGTCAACCTGAATGGCATCACTAAAAACTCAAACTAACCATATCGAGTATGAAATGTTGTCTTAGGTATATCGTCTACATTCACCTTCAACTAATGATACCTATATTACTAATCGATCTTAGAAAATACCAAAGCTCCCATTAGTTGATCCAACAAGTCATCTATTCTTAGGAGTGGGTACTTATTCTTTACTCTCACCTTATCCAGTTGCCTGTAGTCAATACACAGCCACAGGCAGCCATCCTTCTTCTTCACAAACAAGATTAGCGAACCTCATGGTGACACACTAGGGCATATAAAGCCCTTATCTAGCAATTCCTCCAACTATTCTGAAGATCTACTAATTTTGAAGGAGCCATCTTATATGGAGCTTTTGAAATAAGCTTAGTACTAAGTGTCAAATCAATAGAGAATTTCACTTCTCACTTGGTGGCAAACCCGATATTTCATTTGCAAACACTTTAAGAAACTCATTCACAACTTGAATCTTAATAATATTACTACTTCTACTACCTTCCACCATGAAGAAAACAACATAGGCCTGACAACCTTATGAAATTAACCTTTCATCTTGTGCCACTGACAACAATCTTGGTTGATTGGCAGTTATTGTAAAAATCACAGTTTGCATCATATGAATTGGTAATAACACCATCTTTTTGGCACAATCCAAAATCCAAAATCGCATTATTCCTTATTAACCAGTGCATCTAAATAATCACATCTAATCTTTGCATAAGAATCAAGATTAGATCTAGCATAGAAGCTCTTCCCTCAAAGCACAATTCAGCCCTTTTACATGCTTTATTGGTCTTATCTAGTAAGCTAAAGAGCATAGACATTTTAACAACATAAGGTAACTCATGCACAGGAAAATTTATCTTCTCTACGCAATCATGTGACACAAACAAATGAGGAGCTCTCTAGTTAAATAAAGCCTCAACTCTTTGCTAGCAGATAGAGATTATACCAGTGATTAGATTTGGTGCCGTTTGAGCCTCCTCTTGAGAAACAGTGTACACTTGACTGGCACGATTAGTCGCTGCTTATAAGCTCCCTTTTAATTCTTGGGGCAATTCTTCACAAAATGGTCCATGCCATCACAGATGTAGCATGTCTAATACCTTTCAAGATGATTCTGCCGATAAATTGTACACACAGGTGAGTGTGCAATGCTCACACGAGATGTAGGGATAGTAGCTATCTAACTTGATTGTTGTAAATCTCTAGAATCTCTAGCCCCACCAAACCTCCTACCTTGGCTGATCACTCCTCAAGACTGTGGTCCTCTACCGAAAATCCTCCTGCCTGAGAATTTAGAACCATTTGTGAACATAGTATTTTGTCTGACCATTTTTAATTAAAATAATAATAAATTCAACCAAATAATAAATTTTAATAATATAGATAAAATATAAAATTTTTTTAATTAATAGTGTTTATTTTTATTTTAATCTAGATAATCTTATGTTAGGATTTTATTTCTTTTAGTTCATTAAAAAATATAAAAATACAAAAATACAATTTAATCCTATTTAGGATTATATTTTCAAAATAATAATAATAATAAATAAAGAAGATAAATAAATTTAATTGGTCTTCAAAATCAATTTTAAAAGTAAAAATATTATTTAAATTATTTAAAAAAATTTTCTTCACCAAATTATCTCGACAATCAAAAATTTATGAGAATCAATTTTTTAAAAATTAAATATTTATAAATTCTTATAGATCTAGTTGTTCCACTTGTGTGTGTGTGTAAAGAGATATTCTTGTTCAGTTTAAAATTAGATTTTTTTTTTATCCCAAATCAGTAAACATAATTAACAAAAACATATGATTTTGAAAAAAGATATCACCCAATGGTTAAATGCTAGAAACCAGATCCAGCATTTAACCATCGATCCAGCCTCTTCACCTACTCAAGACACACGAGCGAAGACATAGAGAACAGCCTTAAAGGGCCTTTCGGCCAGACGCAGAGGAAGGAAGAAGAGAAAAGAGCATAGAGCAGATGCATAATAGAAGACCAGAGGCATACACAAAACGCGAGCAAAGACGCAGAGAGCAAGCCATTAAACTTTCGACCAGACAGCAAAGAAGCAACTTATGGCAGAGCACGCACATGAAAAACACAAAAGGAGAGCATTCACAAGAACACAGAACAAAAGCAAAAAGGAGAAAGCCATCCCTGGATGAAAATGAAGAAAGCAAGCAGAAAATGCAGAGGAAGTGGTAGAGGAAATTTGGTATCGTGTGAAAAAGAAGTTGAATCGAGTCAGAGCTTGTAGATTCACGCTACCCAGGTAACTATCTTCTATATAAAGGGCTGATGATGATCTAAGTAAGGGGAGAGTAGGGAGATCTCTATGGATTTTTCAATTGAGTGTGGAAGAGAGATCGAAGGTTTGAGAACGAGATCTAGATCCAAAGGGAAAGAAGAGAGACCAGGAGTTTGAGAGGGGAAGAAAAAAAGAGAATCTTATCTTGGTTTTTTGGGAGGGAGAATTGAGAAGAGGATTTCTGGAGGGATTTCTAGAGAAAGAACTGAGAGCTGAGTTTGAGAGTTTGAGAGGATTGAGAGCTTGAAAAGGACTGAGAATTAGAGAGTGATCTAGGTAGAAGCAGAGGAAGCAATCGTAGAAGAGATTGAAGGTGAAAAAGACACTCATTTCGATAACAACTTTAGGATTAATTCCCATGCTTTAAGTTCTAGTTTTTTGATTACAAACCAAGCGTCTCACACTGCTTTGTAAAGTTTAATTGGTTTTGAAATGTACTAATCTTGTCTATGAGCTTGATTTTAAAAGAGATTAGTCTGCATTATTTGAATAATTTTTTTAGGATATAGACTTAGTTGGATGTATGATTAGGTGTTGGAAATAGTCAGTTTTATTATGAGATTGATTTTTGCCTGCTGCTGTAAGAAAAATGCTAGAATATATACTCTGTTCATATGATTCATTTGCCTTACTATGTGGTAGATGAAATTTAGTCTCAAATTATGCTTCTGATCATGATTGAGGTTGGTTTCACTATATATTAGCTAGTACTTTATTGAGGATCTTTTGAGACTTTGATTAAATAACCACATTTACTTGCATCCTACTTCTGTCAAGATTAAAGTGTAATTTAGAGTAACCTTGAGATATATAAGCTTGAGTAAGTGTGTGCTCGTATGTGCAGTCTGGAGGAAATCATTTTTGGGTTTTAGATGTCATGTGTTTAGGATATATGGCTTGACACTAAATATGGAGAAATTCCTAACAAAAACTTTGCTTGCTGTCCCAATTAGCTTGATCTGATTTTCATGTATTCCTATTATGGATTTGTCTCTAATAATGAAAAAATTATTTTACTTGTTTGACCACACGTTTGAGTTGGATTTGAAAAATGTGTTTAGCATGAAAGGATCTACTGGTAGATGGTGGTGGAGTTTTGGTCCTTGTGCCAATTTAAGGGGACTTTTACTTAGTTGTAGCATTGTGTTCATTTTTATATGTTTTTACTATGCCTTCCTTCATCGTTGTGGTTTAATATGTTATTATTTGAGTGTTTCTTATAAAAGGTTGAGGAGGGAGTTCAATTTTTGAGCGGATTTAATTTTTACAATTGGAATCCAATACAAAAACTATACACACACACACATATATGTGAACACTGTATTTTGTCTAGGCTTTAAATTTAATAAAAAATAATAAATAACTAAAAATTATATAAAAATACAAAAATAAAATTTAATCTTATTTAGGATTATATTTTCAAAAAATATAATTAATAGGGTTTAATTTTTTTAATTTAGATAACCTTTTATTGGTTAGGATTTTATTTCTTTTAGTTCATAAAAAACATAAAAAATATAAAAATAAAATTTAATCCTTTTTTAGGATTATATTTTCGAACAAATAATAATTTAAAAAAACTCAAAAAAATCTTGCTTAAATGTTTTTTTAAATCCCTCCCAAATTATTCCAATCATTCAAAAAATATTGAGAATCAATTTTTGAGAGTTAACTTTTCTCTCTTTAAATCTTATTTTTCACTTAAAAAAAATATGTGCGTGTGTTAACAAAATAATAATAATAATAATAAATAAATAAATAATAAAAATAAAATATTTGGAGGGCCCGATGAAATGCTGAGTATCAGTGTTTCATTATAGCCTTTAAAGGGCCTTCCTTTAACACGCAGACATGACAAAAAAGAAAAAAGAAAGGGAAGTGAAACACGTAGCCACAGCCAGCCGAGAGAAGCGCCAAAAATGGGAGAACGAAGCCCAGACGCTTGTAAAGGAGAAGAGCAGATCAGAGCCTGCAGGACATGCAAGCGAAAGAAAGAGAGAGCACTAAAACATTACAAAAAGAGAAGAAAAGCAGAGCACAGAGGGGGAAATTGAGAGCGATAAAGAGCATTGAAACCTGACGAAAAAAGATTAGGGGACGAAAAGAGAAGGGCAGGGAAGCACAGATGCATGCATACGTAGAGGAGGCCTTCCCTCTAAAAATGCATGGACGAAGAGAAGGAAAGAACACGAGAAGTAGAGACGGAGAATGCAGGATGAAGAGAAGAGAGCATTAATCTAAAACTAAAAAAAGAAAGCTAGAAACGAGAAATAGAGCACCAAGAAGAGGAGGAAGGAAAGAACATGAGAAGCAGAGATGGAGAGGACAAGAGGGAGATCACGAGCTTCAGTGATAGAGGGATCTCTCACGTAAAATTGAGAAGAGATAGAGAGGTAAAGATGGAGAGCATAAAAAAGAGAACGAGAAACCAGAGAGAGAGAGAGAGAACGAGAGAAAAAAATGAGAAAGAGAGCAGAGACTATCCGAGAGAGGATGGAGAACGAGAAGGAGACGGAGAGTTTGAGAAGGGAACAAGAGGCTAGTGGTGGCTTATCAGATAAAGGGCACAATGTGATTAAAGGAGAAGGCCGAATCTGTACTCTTACTGTGGTCCATCCTCTACAGTGTAGAAAGGAGTCATGGGTGTTGATGTTAGTTCTCGTAAGGGTAGCGGGAAGCATTCCAGGGTGGTTGATAATATGGAGGGGGGATCAAAGATTTGAGGGAGCTAGAGATAAGCGATTGAGAGTTGAAGGTGAGTGTCTGAGAAGGTCTAAGGTACGCTCATGTAAGGAAGAGTGAAGATTGGGGTCTTTACCACAATTAGTGGCATTCAAAAATGGTAAATGTTTCATTGATTGATTATCTTATCTACACTGTTATAGGGATTCTGATCATGTAGCGACATTAGAATATGTAAATTCTTCTCCCACGCTTTCCTATCCATTTGCCCAGTTTTCTAGTTTCTTGAATCATAAGTGTTTGTAAGTTGTGAACACTATATGCATATTTTACATTTAACAAAAATAATGATAACATCAACTAAAAAATTTAAAAATACAAAAATAAAATTTAATCCTTTTTAGGGTTATATTTTCAGGATAAAAAAAATCTTTAATTAATAGATTGAATTTTGTTTTAACCTAAATAATCTTTTATTAGTTAGGATCTTATTTCTTTTAGTTCATGATTTACATGATAGCACTGTGAGAATAGCACTGTAATTGCTACATGATTTAAGTGTTTGGCCTTCCCATTTTAATGAAATAACATTGCTGCATCATATTATTTAATGTTACTTTCTCTTGAATATCATTGAAGCTTTAAGCCAAGCATTTAAGGTTACATGGTCTAGTCAGGAGAGAAAAATGGTTTACTCATTATTAATCGCTTCTGTGAATTTTATATTTAAATGAATGATCCTCTAGCATGTATACTCTTTTATGCTCAGATGCTAAACACAAATAGCAATTTTTAGAGTTTGTTATGTGAGATTTTGAGAATCTCCATAGGCACTGAGAATGATCACATATCATATAAATCAATAAGATTTCACAGGTATAAAGATCCAACTTGTACATTAAATATGGGTTCTAATGGCTCACCATTAAAATTAACCCTCTTTTTATAATTTAAATCCATAAAATATTTAATAGTATCGTGTGAGATTTAAAGAATCTCCGCAAATGTTGAAATTAATTGCTTTATCATGTAGGATAATAAATCCTCACAGATGTTGTGATTCGCAATTTGTATTGTAAATAAATAAATAAATAAATTTTGTGAATGAAATAATAAACATTCTTTTTATAATATTAATTAATTAAATTAATAAATTTAAATTGTAATCACATTTTCTAACTAGATTTTTTGGTCATGTGAGATTTTTTAAACTCCGTAAATCTTTAGGATAATCGTACTATTGCGTGAGTTAAGGCTTTGCAAGTAGAAAGATTAAGATTTCTATATTTAAAAATATGCATTAGAATATATTCAAAGTGAATATTAATTTAATCCTTTTATCGCGTGAGACTTTGAATCTTTGTAGATATTTAGGATAATCTCGTATCGAGTAAATCAATAAGGTTTCGTAGATATGAGAGTAGAATTTATATGTTAATATGGGTTTCAAAGGCCCATCATTAAAATTAACTTCCTTTTATAATCCAAATTAATAATTTATTTAAGTCTCATGTGAGATTTTAAGAATCTTTATAGAGATTTAAATTAATCATATCATTATGTGGGATAACAAGTCTCGCAGATGTAATGATTCTCAATTTTTATAATAAATAAATAATTTTTGTAAATAATGATATAATACACAATTTAAAAAAATTAATTAACCAAATTAATATATTTAAATTGTAATCACATTTACCGACTATATATTTTAGTCACGTAAGGTTTTTGAATCTCCTTAGACTTTTAAGATAATCGTATTATCAAATGAGTCAATAAGACCTTGTAGATATAATGATTAAGTTTTTTAAAATATATATATATATATATATTATATTAACCAATTAAATTAAAGATGTATTTAAATAAATTTAATTCCTTTATCGTCTGAGATTTTGGAATATCTGCAGATATTTAAGATAATTATATTACTGTATAAGTCAATAAAGCTTTGCAGGTATGATGATTAAGAGTCTTTAAAACATGTATATACACACTTAAAATATATTATTAACACTTAAAAATATACATAAAAATATAAATAAATAAATTAAGTTGTTGAATTCTTTTATTGTGTGAGATTTTAAAATGTTCATAGATATTTAGAACGATTGCATTATTGTATGAACCAGTAAAGTTCTGTAGGTGTAGCAATTAAATTTTCAATCAAAAAAAGATAAAAATAATAATTTTAAACCCTTTTCTTTTCTTTATCTCAAAAATTTAAAAATTGAGAAAATAATTAAAATTAAATTACTTTTTGCAATTTAAAACACACATATTAAAATTTCAGAAATTGTTTTATTTGCAAAATGGTGAATTATTTTTAATTAATTTCTCCTCCAAAAAATATTTTACAAACAACTTTTAAGCCTAAACTATGTGGACTTTAATCCTCATCACAGGGTACGTAGGCTTCAGAGTCAGATTCTGAGTCAAGTCCTCCCTTATAAATAAATAAATATTTCTCACTTAATTTTTATCATTCTTATATCAAACACATGAATATAAAATGGATAATTAAAATAATTTTAAAACCATATTAATATAGCATAATGAACTTCAGGTAACTGTTTTGACGAATGGGTGTTATAGGGTGCCTAACACCTTCCCCACACTCAATCGATTCCCGAACCTATTTTCTGTTTTTGCAGACTATCCTTATAATCCTTTAAATGGTTTCCCAAGATTTACCTCAAAATTTTGGTGGCGACTCCTTGTTTGTTCGGTTTCGGGCCGAAACCCCCGCTTGCGCGCCGTCCACGTCTCATTTTTCAAGTGTGACAGTTGGCAACTCCATTGAGAATAGGTTAGAGAGTCAAGCCTATATAAGTTTGTTGTGGTCCAAATATAATATGTTATTATTATTATTATTATCCCTTTTAATTTGTGTGTGCCTTTTGCCCCCTCTTTTCCTCTTCTCTCTCTCTTCATTTTTTCTAATATGTCTTAGGATTGATAACATGTGAAATAAATCCTAGGATAGAAGACTTTTATTTGTACATTTAATTGTCTCTTTGTTTGATCTGATTAACAGATGAGGGTTGGGTAGCATATGGAAATAAGATAACATGCTTACATGCTCTTGTCACACACTATGCACTCATACAATTCAACACACATTTTGGGTCTTATACTTGGGTTTGTGAATATCATAGGTTAGTGGAGGTTAGTAGTGGTTTCCTTGAAGAATTTTTGAACTCTTGGAGGTTACTATGAATGCCTCACCTAAGCTGTTACTTACTCAGTAAATTCAGTCCCCGTAGAGTTTATGTTCTCGGAGGGTCAAAATTATTAAGTAAGGTCTTCACCGTGTGGTGAGGGCATCTTGGGAAACTTCTATCTATTAGGACTATAAATATACCCTGGAGCAACTCGTTTTAGATGAAAGCTAGTAACCCAACCATTTTAACTTATACTTGATGATTACAAAGATAAACAGACTTAAGCTTCCTAAATAGGACACAATATATATATATATATATATATGATGAATGAGGAAACATATATTTATTCATTATTTATTTGCTGTGTGAGATTTTAAGTATCTCCGCAAGCATTAAGAATGATCTCATACTGTAAAAATCAATAATATTTTACAAGTGTGAGGATCAATTTTGTGTACATTACAGATGGGTTCCAATGACCTACCATTAAAAATAACTCTTTTTTTATAATTAATAAAATATTTAAGTTTTATGTGAGATTTCAAGAATCTTCGTAGAGAATTAAATTAAGTGCGTTATCATGTGGGATAATAAATTCTTATAGATATCGTGATTCTCAATTTATATGGTAAATAAATAAATAAATTTTGTAAATAAAATAATAAATTTTTTAATAAAACTAGTTAATTAAATTAATAACCATAAAATCTTTTGATTATGTGAGATTTTTAGATCTCTATAGATTTCTAAGATAATTGTATTATCAAATGAGTTAATAAAACTTTGTAGGTATTAAGTTTTTAAAGAAATATATGAAAATTATATACATAAATAATAAATCAATTACATTAAAAATGTTCTTAAATGTATATTATTTAATCTTTTATCGTGTGAAATTTTAAAATCTCTGCATATATTTAGAATAATTGCATTATCATATGAGCCAATAAGGCTCTGTAAGTATAGCGATTAAATTTACAATAATAAAATATAAAAAAATAATTTAAACTCTTTACCTTTTTCTTATTCCAAGAAATCAAAATTGAGAAAATAATTGAGATTAAATTACTTTTTTACAATTTAAAACACACACATCAAAATTTTATAAAATTATTTTATTTGCAAAATGATAAATTATTTCTAATTAATTTCTCTTCAAAAAAATATATTTTCACCAACCACTTTTAATCCCAAATTATGTGGACTTTGATCCCTATCACAGGGTACATAGGCCTTAGAGTCTGATTCTGAGTCAAGTCCTTCCTCGTAAATAAATGAATATTCCTCATTTTATTATTATCATTTTTAAAATACGTGAATAAGAAAGAAATAATTAAAATAATTTTAAAACTATATTAATTTAGCACAATAAACTTTAGATAATTGTTCTTATGAATGGGTGTTGTGGGGTGCCATATTAATTTAACACAACAAACTTTAGGTAACCATTCTCATAAACAGGTATTGTGGGGTGCCTAACATCTTTCCCACACTCAATCGATTCTCGAACCAATTTTTTGATTTTGCAGACCATCCTTACCTTCTTTAAACTGTTTCTCATAATTCTCCTTAAAAATTTTGGTGGCTACTCCTGTTCATTTGGTTTTCACTTTGAAGGCTAGAACCTTCGCTTTCCTGCACTGTCCACGGGCCCATTTTTATGCGTGATAGTTTGGTGACTCCACTGGGGAACCTTCCTAGAGGGTTAAGCCTGTATAATTTTATTGTGTCGCATTTCATGGCCAACTTTTATTTTACATACTATTTTATATATGTTATTTGTGAATTAGTAGATAATTTGCTTTTCTTTTTGACAATCTACATAATCCTTTATTTATTGTTTGAATAACATATGGTTGAAAATGATTATTATTTGTTTATATGTTTGTTTTGTTTGAATAAGGGCATTTGGGAGGATATAACTCTTGGTGATGCTACCTGAGAGACAGAAGCTAAGATGAGATAGCTATACTCTCAGTTATTTCCTTAGGTATATGTGAGTTAATGGTTGTTTTAATTTTTGGGACAATACTCTTAAAAGGAGGAGAGAACTGTAACATTTTGAATTTCTAATCTAATATTAATGACTAATTAAGAATGAATTAGTAATTTAATATGGGAATATGATTCTGAGTAGTGAAGCATTATTTTGACTCATTGGAATGTTATATGAACAGATATGAGTAGAAGAACGAAGTTTTGAAGCAGAGCGTGTAAGTAGAGTGAGGATTTCCCTCACTGTGCCACGCGCTGCAGCGGGGGATAGATGCGTCGCGATGCATAGAGCAAAAACTAGATTAATAGGGACGTGTCTAGCTTATGAAATAGAAGGGAGAAATTGGAAGAGAGCTCAAACGTGGAGAAGAGCAAGGGCTATGCTAAGGCAAGCTAAATTAGGAGCAAGGATGGCATCTCTGACTTGTTACTTATCGGGTAAGTCACATATTATCTTAACCTCCGAATCTACTCTATTTTCTCTTAGTTTTAACCAGTGAGAAAGTGAATTCAAGAGTTTTAAGGAGTTGATTTCTTATCCTATAGTAATAGAAATGTTCTTTGGAACTAAACTAGTGCTTTGTAACTGGTTAGAGTTTAAATGATAAAGCTTTGAAAGCTGTAGGTAAGAAATGCCCTAATCTAGAAAGAGAGTAGTGAGAGAAAATTGCTAAAAAATGTTAAAGCTTGGAATGAAGGGTAATTAGTGGCAATATACATAATCGAGTGTGAAATGTGGAATTGATGGCAATTAAGTGTTTAAATGTAATAACTGGCACTTTTGGTCAATAGAGGAATTGACTCTGAATGCCAATTCTATAGAGGTTCTAGTATGTGACACACGAATTGTGAGAAAGGAGCTTAAATAGGGTTAAAGTTACACAGGTAATCCTTTCTATCAAGTAGAAGGGTTGAGTTAACTATATAGTTTATTGCCTGCTGCTATAAGAATAATGCTAGATTATATACTCTATTCATATAATTCATTTGCCTTACTATATGGTAGATGAAATTTAGACTCAAGTTATGCTTTTGATCATGATTGAGGTTGGTTTCACTATATATTAGCTAGTACTTTGTTGAGGAACTTTTGAGACTCTGATTAAATAACCATATTTACTTGCATCCTACTTCTGTCAAGATTAAAGCATAATTTAGAGTAACCTTGAGATATATAAGCTTGAGTAAGTGTGTGCTCATATTTGTAGTCTAAAGGAAATAATTCTTGGGTTTTAGATGTCATGTGTTTAGGATATATGGTTTGACACTAAATATGGAAAAATTCCTAACGAAAACTTTGCTTTTTGTCCTAATTAGCTTGATTTGATTTTCAATGTATTCCTATTATGGATTTGTCTCTAATAATGAAGAAATTATTTTACTTAGTTGATCGCACGTTTGAGTTAGATTTGTAAGATGTGTTTAGCATGAAAGGATTTACTAGTAGATGGCAGTAGAGTTTTAGTCCTTGTGCCAATTTAAGGGGACTTTTACTTAGTTGTAGCATTGTGTTCATTCTTATATGTTTAATTATGCCTGCTTCATCATTATGGTTTAATATGCTATTATTTGAGCATTTCTTATAAAAGGTTGATGAGGGAGTTTGATTTTTTAGGGGATTTAATTTTTACAATTGGAATCCAATACAAAAACTATATATATATATATGATGAATGAGAAAATATATATTTATTCATTATTTATTTGTCATGTGAGATTTTACGTATCTTTACAATTATTAAGAATGATCTCAAAATGTGAAAATCAATAAGATTTTGTCAGTGTGAGAATCAATTTTGTGTACATTAAAGATGGGTTTTAATGACCCAACATTAAAATTAACTCTCTTTTTATAATCAATAAAATATTTAAGTCTTATATGAGATTTCAAGAATCTTTATAAAAAATTAAATTAAGTGTGTTATTGTGTGAGATAATAAATCCTCACAGATATCGTGATTCTCAATTTATTTGGTAAATAAATAAATGAATTTTGTAAATAAAATAATAAAATTTTTTTAATAAAATTAATTAATTAAATTAATAATTGTAGCATCCTGAAAATTTTAAGACTCAAATTTATTCTAAAAATAAAATAAAATATTTATAATTAAATTAAAATTAAGAATAATTTGATAGAGGTCTAGAGCTTGAATTTTTCTCAGTAAAAGTTTGATTTTTTTTGATTTTTAACTATGAAAAAAATTACCAAAGTTGACCCAGGCTTTTATATTATAATAAAAAATGTTGAGCCCTTTCTTATAATTTTTTCTAAAGTGTTAGATCAATATTTTGAAGAGAAACTAGACACAGAAACGAAATAGAACAAAGAGCAAAGGAAAGAAACAAACGCACGAGAGAGAGGGAGAGGAAGAAGAGAGGAGAAAGAGAAGGAGTTAGGCTTAGATCTATGAGGCCTTACGACCGTTGTGAGTTTGGCTACACGATAGGTAAGCTCCCTAATTCAATCCTCTTCCCTCCATCTTTGTTTTCTTCAATTTTGGAAGAGGAAATTTCTGAAGTTTGATCCAAAAGGCTTTATTCTTGTAAGCTTTAGTTTCTTTGGGAGGTTGTTTTGAGTTTTTATATGATGTCCTAATGTTTTAAGCGGGTAATTAGATGAAAAATAAAGTTTTAGGATAAAAGTTAAACTCCAAGAGGTTGGGTTTTGCTTTTTAATGATTTAAGTCTATTGATTTAGTTATAATTTTTCTATTTGAGCCCAATAAGATTTAAATTAAGGTTTGGTTTTCATTATAAGGGCTAATGGTAAAAGTTGATAACACTAAATGAAGGTTTTTAATTGATTAAAAATTATATGAATTAGAAATTAGCCTAGTGATGGCTAGTAAATGATTTTGGTGGTTAAGTGATACTATGTGAATGGTTGGTTTAATATATGGACCATTAGGATGGATTATGACTCATTGGCCCAAGTTGTGTGATATGAGTTATAGTATTTATTAATGCTATTTGTCATGATAAGTGATGTGGATCACTTATATGTTGTAGGGAATTATTGGTGGAACTTATTAAGAAGTTAAGGAATAAGCCAAGTCCTATTTTATATAAGAGGAACCCTTTTGGTACCAAAGGGTTGAGATAACAGAAAAATTTATATTTTTTATTACTTTTTTTAGCTATTTTTGAATAAATATTACTAGCTATCATGCATTACATGTTTTAAAAGATTAAATGTGCTTTATAAGGGGTTATGGGTACTAATTTGATTATAGTGCAAATATGTTTTCTAATTGTTTAACAATAATATTTTTATGGAAATGAGATTGTTTGCATGTATTGTAATGATAAAAAAATAGAATTTGCACTTAAGAAAGGCTAACTAAGTTAGGTACCTTAGATAGGCTAAGGAACCATTTAAGGGAGATTTATAAATGTTATACTACCAAAATGTTGAAGTGGTCAATACTCAGAAAAGGTAGACAAGAATAAAAGGCATGATCTTGTGGGAGTTCACTAATGAGAAGGTGTGGACTTGTAATATTCTATGGCACACTGCTAGTACTCAGTGTTGCCTTACGTATTGTGGGCTCAGTACACTAAAATGGTTAGTGTATTTAGTATTCGACACCTCTTAGTGGGGGAGGAAATCTGACATATAAAGTTTGAGGTTGAGTGCTTAGGCCAAGGTAGTCCTCACATGGAGAGTAAGTTGGGTTGGATCTAGGAAGGAGTTAGGTTTGACTACTCAAGATTCATGTCGAAGGAGCATAGGTGGTTTGGTGGATTAGATTATATTTTGTGTCTGTGGAGGTACAAGTGGGTATAAGGTTTACTTGCAAATTAAAGAGTACCGGGGACATTTTGTTAGTCATGAAAGGCCATACTGGCCTATGTTATGCATTCATGCATTTTAAATGGCTAAATTATATATTATGTTGAATTTGTTATTCGTTTATTCGATTATGGCTTACTTTGTAATAATCAATGTAGATTTTTCTGTTACTGAGACTGTGGTTGTCTCACTCCTTTCTTTGCAATATTTTCAGGTCCAAGCGAAGGAACCAGTAGTTAACAGGGAAAGGAATAGAGCTAGGGGTTGTTTGTAGATTGTAAAGAACTACAACCCCTTTCTTTTAAGCAAATATGTTGTAATATATTTAGGATTAGAGTGCCAGTAGGATGTGATTATATAAATATGTGTGTGAATATGTGTGGATTGTATGGCTTGTTTATGAATTTTTGTCTACTTGTAGACTTATGTCTGGGAAACTTGATTATAGTGTGTGGTTTTGATAGATTTATTTAGTAGACGAAGTTTCTACTACAAGTAGATATTTATTTTGATATATATGTGATTCTACAAGTAAATGCAAAGTAGTTGCATTGCAAATGGTGTGCTATGAGCAAACATACATTTTAGATAAAGAGAATGGGTACGTGAGCCCTACGGAGATATTTAAGCCATGTGAAAATATTTAGTGTGTGTATTTATATGTGTATATAATATTTAGAATGGTTTTTGGCTACTCTTGTGTGATTTGTGAATTTTAGGGACTTAGAGTCCATTTGAAAAATGGCACCCGGGTAGTCAAATTTTGGTATAAAGAATTTGTATGTCATTTAAATGTTCTGTCAGGTATTTTTAGTCCTATTTGACATGTCCAAAGTACTATAGGTTTGTGACCATTATGATGAGATTTGAACAATTTTAAAAATAGTTTTTACCAAAAAATTGTACTTTTACATCCGGGTATCTAAATCTCAATTTTTTCCGTTGGATTTCTCTAAAATTTAGGTCACAAGTAAAAAATTTTATAAGCTTCATGTAGCCTTTAGAATCACATGAATTAGACACCGAACGGAGAAACGATGCCCTCTGAAATTTGGTCCAGAAGAGCTGTCATGACAGCAAAAGTGTTGTCATGATAGAAACAGTGTTGATGTTGCAACATGCACGAAATTCAATCCGTTTGTTGGATCTTTTCAAAATTTTGTATGCTAATAGTGCTCTTTAAAAGTGACATGTGGGTTTTGGAATCGCTTTAATTGGAGGTTGGATGATGAAATGGTACACTCCAGAAATTAGTCCGAAGGTGCTGTCATGATAGCTAAAATGACCAAAATTGTAACATGTTCAATTTTTAATCCAACCGTTGGATCTTTTTAAAATTTGGTACACTTATATTACCCTTTGAATGTGACATGTGAGCTTTAAAATTACTTCGATCGAGGATCGGATAACAGAACGGTGCCTCTCGAAAGTTAGCTTGGGAGGGCTGTCATGACAGCATCTTTTTACCCCGCTGTTGCCTAGCTTGCTTCCGTGTGCTATAGGTAAAAATTATAATTTTTTTAAAAAAAAGTTTTAAATGTTTATTTTGTAATCATATATCTGTTTAGTAATTTAAATGATTTGTTTCCTAAGTTAATTTTAGGATTAACTCCTTAACCACACTTAGTTTTATTTGAATTGTATAATTTTTGGATAACACTCAGGCAAGTGTTACAATAATTATAAAATCTTTTGGTCATATGAGATTTTTGGATCTCTATAGAATTTTAAGATAATCATATTATCGCATGAGTTAATAAGACTCTACAGATATTAAGTTTCTAAAGAAATATAAATAAATTATATGCATACATAATAAATTAATTAAATTAAAAATGTACTTAAATGTATAATATTTAATCTTTTATCATGTGAGATTTCAAAATTTTTAAAGATATTTAGAATAATTACATTATTGTATGAGCCAATAAGGCTCGGTAGGTATAGCGATTAAATTTATAATTTTAAAATAAAAAAAAATTTAAACTCTTTACCTTTTTCTTATTCCAAGAATTCAAAAATTGAGAAAATAATTAAGATTAAATTACTTTTTTGCAATTTAAAACACACACATCAAAATTTCATAAAATTATTTTATTTACAAAATGATAAATTATTTCTAATTATTTTCTCTTCAAATATATATATATATATATATTTCCACCAATAACTTTTAATCCCGCAATTACGTAAACTTTGATCCCCATCATAAGGTACGTAGGCCTCAAAGTTTGATTTGAATCAAGTCCTTTCTTATAAATAAATAAATATTCCCTATTTTATTATTATCATTTTTTAAAATACGTGAATAAGAAAGGAATAATTAAAATAATTCTAAAATTATATTACTTTAGCACAATAAACTTAGGTAACAGTTCTCACGAACGGGTGTTGTGAGGTGTTTAACACCTTCCCCACACTCAATCGACTCTCGAACTAATTTTTTAATTTTATAGACTATCCTTGCCTCCTTTAAACAGTTTCCCAAGATTTTTCTCAAAATTTTAATGGCAACTCTCGTTCATTTGATTTTCACTTTGAAGGTTGGAACCTCCGTTCTTATAGGCTGTCCACATCACATTTTGAGGTGTGACACCACTGGCACAAAAACTGCCTCTCTTGAATATTCCTCCAGTCGAGCCTAACTGACTAGAAAACCTTTCATAATTATCTCTTCTCTTCTCAACATCTACCTCTTGACCCCGTCTCGTAGTTATACGAAGTTAGTTACAAGTTTCCCCATAAGTAGCTTCTCCTAACAAGGTAATCTGCCTTCTGTACTCAGGACACATCTTCTTAATCAACCTCTTGGCTCTCCATTTACTATCATCCTTCTCGTGTAGGAAAGTCACAAACTTGGAAAGCTAGTTAAACTTCCTTATAAACGACTCCTCATCCAAATCTCCTTGCTGAATCGTATAGAACTCTGCTTCTTTTTCATCTCTAAATGCTACAGGGAAGTGATAGTCAAAGAATCTCTCTGAATTGCTCCTAGCTGAGCCGACTACCACTAAAGGGTCTCACCAAATGCCACTAATGCTTGGCATCCTTAATCAGTTATATTGTGGCTAATACTACTTTCTGCTCAGATGAACACTGAGTAACCTCAAAAATAGTTTTCATCTTCTCTATCCAATTCTTTCTATCTCCCTTTCTTATACTGCCATTGAAAGTTAGTAGATTCAATGGCAAAAAGTCCTCCACACTTGGTCCATAGGAATCTCTTGATCTTCCCTACTGGTTATTGGACTACTCCTTGAAGCAAGAGAGGTCACTAGCCTACTCAATTGTATCTCAAGCTCTATTCTCTCTTCAGCCTCAGGCCTTGCCTCTTACTCTGGCCTCGACTCCTCGTGATTCTTATTATGGTTCAGGGCATCATGGTCGGCTAGACTTCTCTAAATGTCTAGTATCACTTCCAACATACGTGATATAATAGGGTTATTACCTTGAGGTTGTTCTAGTAGCACTTTCGGATGTTGCACATCTTGGGCATTCTGAGCTCGTATGCACCGTGGAATTCTACCACATCCTCTCATAGCTATTGTTGAATAACTATAGCTTCATGTACCTTTCTCCCCTCCTTTAGAATAAAGGTATAAAAAGTCAGTAAGTAGGTGTTAAAGGCTGGAAAAGAGTAATGAATGTATAAAAATTGTCAACTAATGTGATGCAATGTACAAACAGATCCAAACCAAAGAAAACTAATACCAAACTATAAAGTCCTAGCTCAAATTAGGCTTTACCATTCTACTTCACATAATCAACAATTTCCAACACAGTAATATCAAAGTAATAGCCCTTTATTTATTTTCATATCATAGGATCCTAACTTCTTAAAAATGTATTCAAATAAGAGGGCTAGCGGAAGCACAAAGGCTATCGAATGACTCAAAAAGACATAACTTCTCAACCCTAAAAAAGGGCCATGCATTGCGGTGTGTACTACATGCACCACTGCATGTGGTATAGAGTAACGTGCTCTATTACTATCTATGTCATGCACTGCGGCGAGCACATAGTGCTCTGAAATTCATATGACAACAATTTCTATTGTCATATGACAACTTGAAACATTCGATGTCCAATTGGAGTAATTTAAGCACCTAGATGAAGCTTAAAATATATACTAGTTAATAGAATAAGTTTGAATTGGATCTGATGATCTAATCTAAAATTAGACACTCAAGTGCAAAAAGCCACTTTTCTTTCAAAAACTTGCACCCTAAGTGCTCAATTCTCATTCTTTGTTCTATTAGACTACTTCAGGCCTTAAACTAAGTCTAAAACGATCACATACACCTGATTGACACTACTAATCACATCTACTACATCAATTGCCCATTTCAGCCTCTCAATGCCACATTACACAATTGTGGACTTATATGAGGAATACATATACAACACATATTCACATATATATAACTAGACTTGTTCCACTTTCAACCCTATGACTTTTACATATGGGGCTCCGCCTCACTATATGGTCAAAAATCAAAACATACTTAACTCTTTTAAATAAGGCTTCACCTCACTATTTGTGTCAAGTTCTCATATAAAACACAATTCATAATCAATACATAATCATCACATCAATTCAAATTCAATACATATACACAAGTGGAACAAGTTACACAACATCATATACTTGCTTGTTTAGCATCTAGGCCTACCCACGTATCTTCTCACTAGGGCACCCTTGGCAAGATGCAACATCATATACACATATACAAGCAAGGTTTCACAACACAATTCATATACACATTCACTTATGCATTCTAGTTGGCAACTCTACTATCACAACTCATTATACATTCATTTATACAAATGGTAGTCATACAACTATTAAGTGAAGCTACTCTTTTCTTAGTTCCTTTCCTGACCTTTTCATGCTCTCTTCACCTGTGTTCAAAAGTAATAGAGTGAAACTTATGTTCCAATAACTCAGAGGTAACCCCGATTACCAGTTAGTAAGCTAAATTATAAAACAACGATAAAGTAGCATGCATACTAGTAAAAGCAATGTCATATGTATATACAAGAATTCATTCTCATCAACCTCGTTATGCTCATACAATACATTCCTGGTTCTACCTAACAGAGTAATCTCTACATTCAAATGAGGACTTTCAGTCACAAGGAATAGGGCCCACCATAAACTGCTTAGACCAAGTAATCCTCTTAGGTCCGTCATGGCAGAGTAAACTCTACTTTTTAGATCATTAGGACTGCTTAGCTTTATACAGAGTAGGACCATGTCCCCCTACCCTAATTTAGGGTAACCTCATGGATCATTCAATATCCTAGGTCCATCGTGATGAAGTCAAGCTTTACGCTTTGGATCATCAAGATTCTTCTCTTAAGTCAGTTCTAATGGATTCAAGTTTTATGCTTTGAATTATCAGGACTTCCCAAACCTCCTCACGGTAGGGTTGCATCCCCCTACCATAATCTAAGGTATACTCACGAATGCAATGTATGGTA